GCAGAATGAAAGCAGACAAAAACATAATAGCAAAATAAAACAAACCAGTAACTTGCAAAGTGATAAGAAAAAATTCCACCAAAAGGCAAATGAAGAGAGAAATGTTGTCTTTACATTGGTTTTTTAGATACATAAAAGCAGCCATTCCAAGAAAAAAACAAAGTTAAAATAATCAAATAAACTAGAAAAATAAATGTCCAAAGTAATGAATGTGAATTTCTTACTAGGATTTGAAGCATACCTCTCCAATTAAATCATCGTGTACATCACCAACAACTTCCAGAGATTCCAGCACAGTCCCGGTAGAACCTCCTATTAGTAGGACCTAAATAATTCACAAAGAAGATTAAAGCGCTGATTTTCTTTATAAAAGGCATATAGCAACAATCTGAATTTCGAACACAAAATGTAAGAGAAAAAAGACTAAAGTACTTCACAGAATTAGAAAGAAGTTAAAAAGCATGACATCTCAATATAGAGTTATGCAAACAAGCAACACCAAACTGTGTAGTGTACAATTTAGCAAGGCTACCACCGCAGAAATGTCAATCACAATTCACATGTTACAATGAATGCTTAACGATATATGTTCCTCTTTCAACCATGAATTCTTGCAACTGCTTATTCTTCCTGATTTAGCATGCCCATTTTTTTGAGAAATTTAGCAGATATTTCAATGCTGTCATATAGCATAAAACGAACCACCACCGTTCCTACGCAACAACAGAAAAAGAATGCAACATAATTCTCTTGGCAATCTATATTTCACAGTTTGTGCAGCTCTCAGGAGTTGCAATGCAAAGTCAACAAAAGGTTGCCACCCTGAGGATTCATCACTTAAGAAGAGGCAGAAAATTACTGTATCTTCAGTATGATCAACATAGCGGTAAGCATGGAGGGAGTTAGTTTGATCATCAGAATGAATTTACTGTTAAATTAAGGTAGAGAAAAGAAAGAATGACACGAGCCAACTTGGGGGCTTGGAATTTTCAAAACGGAAATAGATGGTCGAACGATGAAATTCAAAATTACTATTTCTAACACTATCATTAACTATTCAATCGAATCTTCCAAAAAATTGAAAGACCCACTAACAAAAGAATTTTAAATTAACTAAAAATAAATAATTAAAAAATAAATTTATCTATCTCTATATTGATCATATCTACTATACACATTGCCCCATCTTTCACTCAGTTTCTATCTCAAAACTTCAACATGAAAAAATTAGTTTAAAATTATCATGAGCTATAATCCTCTCAGTGAATACTCATGCTTCTATAATACAATAATATAACAAGAAAAAAAATGCATGCTGGTCAAAGTACTATAAATTAGTGTAGAATCATTTGACAATTTATCAGTCACTATGATCATTCAAGAAAACTCATAACATTCATTATATTGTATTGTATCATTTAAATATCTTTACTTTTTTTATACATGCATCCGTCGAGCACAAACTAAAAAATACCAATTAAAATATATTAATATCAATAAAAAAAAAAAAGTAATTGTGTGCATTGATATTTTAACGTCCCTGGGTATCATAACAGAATTATAAATCAACATGCAAATGCAAAGATACAATAAATAATTTTATTTGTATTATACTTAGCTTTCAAAACTTTCTATTATAATCTACATGCAATAAATAATCATAACTATGTAAATCTCTGACATTCATTTATATAAGACCAATTTGACAAACAGAAAAAATGAACATTTACAAGTTTGCCCCTCAACTTATGTATTTAAATATCTAACACCTAAACTTCAATTTTTTCATATATTTCACCCCTTAGGTTTTTCATCGTTGCCCCTGACATCTGATTTAACTCGAGAAGGCTTTGTCCCTCACATCTGAGACATTGACCTCTCGCGCTCAAGCTTGTTGGCTTCGTCTCCTTCACACATAAAGCCTCTATCTCCGGCATGAGACATCTTCACTTGAACGCAAATCCACTTCCTGCGCTGCTTTGGTGTAACACTTCAGAATTTAACGAAACTGTTTAGCACCGGTTTCATGTTATTAAGATGAGAATCCATGAACCAAGCACAAAAAGAAGACAAATGGGAGGAATCATAGTGGGAGACAAAGCAAACAGGAGGATGCACGTTGAAAGATGAGAACAACAACACGTGTAAGCTTGAGATTTTAGAAATGGACCTAATAGAGCATAATTTGATTGAGCATAATTGTGAAAACTTTGAAAAATTAGCTCTATTATTCGATGCAATCACTAGAGTGATTAGGGATAAGTTTGAGCCTTTAGACACATTAACTAACTTTAAAATTTTAGTATCTTCTATAGTTGAGACACCCGAGTTAGAACTTAAATTCTACAAAAAATATTTGAGGCATGACTTTTTAGCAGAATTTTCAACTTTGCCTATAATTATTTCTTTCGATTTGAGTGAATTACATGAGACAAAGTTAGTGATAGTATTGAGGTAATTTTAGAAAAGTGTTTGGTTAGAACATTGCGGATATTAAAAAAATAAATCCTTCCTTATTTATGCATAAAATAGTAATGAAAGAATCAAGACCCAAAGGATAATCCCCGAACATGGTAGATTTAGTAAAAAAGAAGATTCTCAAATAGTTTGATGAAGACATTGAAAATCCTATATCTGATAGTGCATAGGTGAGCCAATTCATTGTGTTCCTCAAAAAGGAGTGGTGACAAAAGTAGAAAATGATAAGAATGAGCTTATACACACTAAGAGTGTCACAAATTAGAGAATTTGTACTGACTATAAGAAATTAAGCAAAGCAACTAGAAATCACCATTTTCCCTTACCTTTACCCTATCAAATGATAAATAAATTGGCAAAATAACCCCACTTTTGCTTCATAGATTGATATCACCAAATTTCTATAGCACCAAAAGACTAGTATAAGACCATTTTCATTAGTCTCAATATTTAGGAGAATGCCCTTTGTCTTATGTAATGCCTCTGCTACATTCCAAAGATGCATGATTTCTATTTTCTTTGATTTGATTGAAAAGGGGATTGAAGTGTTCATGGATAACTTTTTTTAGTTTTGGCACTTCCTTTGATACATATCTCGAATATTTAGCAAGTATTTTGTAGATATGTGAACAGACTAATGTTGTGTTGAAATAGAAAAAAGTGTCAATTCATTATCAATAAAGGGATTGTTCTAAGGCATAAACTTTTTGAGAAATAGATGGAGGTAAATCAAGCTAAGATTCAATTCATAGAAAAACTACCCCCACCTATGTTAGTAAAACTCTAAATGATCTACAAATCAACTATACCACCACTAAAAAATAGTTACTAGCAATAGTGTTCGCATTTTACAAATTTAGATCCTACTCAATTAGTACTAAAGTGAGATTTACTTGGATCACTCAACTATCAAATATCTGGTGATTAAGAAGGATGTCAGAGCCCGCTTGATCACATAGACACTTCTGCTACAAGAATTTGATACTGATAGTGTTTATAGAAAATGTATTGAGAATCAGATAATCGATCATTTGTTGAGACTTGAGAAAAAAATTTTGAGGATTTGTTTAATGAAATTAATAAGAATTTTCCCGATTAACAACTTCTTGCAATTGTTGAACAAACTATTCCTTATTATGCTGACATTGCGAATTACATTATTACTCACATTATCCCATATGATGTCATATAACCAAAGCAAAAAGTGTCTGATGTTAGATTTTTTTTTTTGTATGACAAACCTTATTTTTTAGGAAATGTAAAGACCAAATTATTAGGTGTATCTCCTTAGAAGTAGAAAACAATATTAGATTGTGTCATGACTCAGATATTGGATGAAATTTTAATGGTTTAGAATTGCTTCTAAAATCTTACAAACATAATTTTATTAGTCTACCCTATTTAAGGATGTTAATGAATATATTAAGAAATGTGATAAATGTCAACATGGGAGTAATATTTGAAAAATATATAAAATTCCATTAAAATGTATTTTATAAGAAAAACTTTGATGTTAGGGAGGTGAATTTCAAGAGACCTTCATATTATTTTTATGAAATAAATACATTTTGATTGTAGCAAATTATGTCTCAAACATGTTTCAGCACCTGCCAGTTGAAGCCCAGTTGAACATGGGCCGAGTCCAGTTCAGTTTCCTATTGCACCACCCTTCAGACAATTCGAGAAGGGAAAGATTCCTAGAAAAATATAACTTTATAAAAGGGGAATTATTCTACTCTCATATGAAATAAGTGCAAGGTTCACCCTGAAGAGGCCTTTCAAATTTGTTCTGCTCCTCCGAAATTTCTAGCATTTGGAATATACTTCACTGCTTCACAATATTTTTAGCACTACTAATACCAACAGATGCATCATGAAGATAAATGTTGTCAAAGGGAAATATGACATTCTATGGGACTCATTCTTCCTAGCTGCTTTTTGGATTATCTGGAAGAAAAAGAAACCGAGATGTTTTAGGATAAAATCACAAATATTAAGCTTCTTTAGGACAAAATTGCATCATGACATATTTCCGGTGCACACCCCAAGGAAAAAATACTTCAAAAATCACCAAATTGATTGAGGATTTCAATTTGCTTTGATCAACGATAAAGTTATTCGTGAGATATATATAAAGATGAAAATTTTCCTTAATTTTTGATAAATTGTCCCCTACCTTACTCTATTTCAATGTTTTTAAAATCGCGCGTCACGTGCAAAGCGAAGCGAATGACGCATGCTTCACTACGCTGAAGCGCGGAAGTGTTTTGAAGTGTTGAAGCAAAGCAGTTGGTCTGTTCACACTTTAGTGAGAGGGAATAAAGGGATACTAAATTAATTTAGCTTGTTTTATGAAACTTGAGACCTTATTTATTTTGTTTATGCTTTAGAATTTAAATTTGTTTTAATTTAAATTTTTTTTTTGTCATTTTTGAAGCTTTTAATTATTGTAGCAAACTATTAGAAATTAATCAAAATTATAATTCGCAGGTTCACTCTCAATGTTTGCTTTTAAGTTAAGTATTGCACGACATTGTTTTTTATTTTATTTCAATTTTAAGTCATACTTTATATTTTATGATTGTTAATGAAGATATTTATACATTAATAGTTTTATATAACCTATTAGCATTTCAGTTAATAAAAGCACCGCTTCACTCTGAATTTTGTGTTTTGAAGTAAAAATAAAGCCTTGCAAATTGCATTGCACATTGCACTTTGATTTTCTCTTGATCTATTTCCCTTCACTAGGAAGGGATCCTTGAACCGAGCTTAACACATACATACATATGTTTCTTGGATCTGCTCCAAGAACCAGAGGAAGAGGCAGGTCAAAACTGTCTCGTCCATAGACACTTGTTTTTGCATGTTTTCTTTTTTCTGAGTTTTTTGTATCTTTTTGTTGGGATATCTTCGCACCATGTATCGTATGAGGAGGGCATCATCTATTGGGCCCTCTCATACAACTTTTTGTATCCTTATTTATTCAGCCCTAGAGCTTCCATATATATATATATATATCGATGGCGTCGGTGGCTGGTTTCTCCACTAGGGCTTCGCCCGATGGCGATTCCCTGGTATGATCTTTGGCTTTCCGGAAGTTCTTCTCTCACTCGACGACAATTTCTGCATTCGTTGACAACGACGTAGAGATGTTGCGGCTTCGTTAGCGCCAGCTTCTGCGTCGAGCGTCGACCTCGTCGAGCTGCAAGTTCCGCAACTCGTCTTTCTGCATCGGCGTCCAGCTCGGCGACTTGTTTTTTTGCATCGACTCGTCTTGTTGCGTCGGCGTCCAGTTTTGGAGTCTTTCCTTCAGTTTCGACGCTTCTTCTGCTTGTGTCTGAGCCAGTGCTTCTCTCTGGCTCGTTCTTTTGCTTTGTTTCTGCGCCTGTCTTTCTCTCCAGCCGGACACAAGTTTCTCGCTGCAGAGTTCTGATGACACTTCCTTCTTCTTTGGCTGAACCGACAAAGACTTCCTTTGACGTGGTGGGAAACCCTCAGGTGGAGTTCACAGTGGTATTCCCCTCAAACTATAAGGAATGTCGCGATGACACAGATAATTGTTCTTTTGTTAAGAAGATGATTGTCCTTTTGTTAAGAAGGGAAGTAGAAAAGATGGGAAAGCAGCAATTTTTTTCTCTGACTCAGTGATTTCTACCATGACAGAAAAATTCAAGTTTGCTCTCATTGGAAAATTTTAGTGGGGACACCTACCTATGGAGGTTATCAAAAATAGCGTAGATGATCTTAAGCCAGTAAGCAAGTGGAAGGTGGGATTTATGGATGAGAGACATGTGTTGATCCAACTAACAATGGCTGAAGACTACACTAGAATTTTCTCCAAGAAATCTTAATATCGCAGGAAAAGCTATGAAGTTACTTAAGCGGTCTCATGATTTCGACCCAAATCATGAAACTCTCACTATACCAGTATGGTTTAGTTTACCTGGTCTCAAACTACATTTTTTTCACCATCAGGTTTTCTACTATACTGGGGTCATCCTAGGAAATCCTTTGAAGCTAAATCTACCTACTTTCAACCTAACCAGACCCTCGGTGGCCAGAATACTTGTGGAAAGGGATATTACTTTATCGGATGTTACTGAAGTCTGGCTGGGCACAACTCACAATGGATATTGGCATCAAATCATCTTGAAACACAACCCCATATTGTACCCACTGTAAGATGTTTAGTCATATCCTTGATAAATGCTACAAGCTTCATCCTAATTTGAAAACTAAGGTTCAAGTGAATAATGATGGGTCTAACCCCACTACTCTGGACATTTTAGTTCTACCTGTAGAGGACACTACCACAGTCTGTTGCCCCTGAGGACCCCCCTCATGACACTGCTTTTACTGTTACTACGAGGGATGTGATGTTGGCACCTTCAAATCCCATAGAAAACAACACTGGTGGACTATTACCTACCAATGAAAGTGTTCAGACTGATAATCAGGAGAGCCTCGCAGCTCCACTCCTTCAGGAAGTATCCAGTGTAGAGGCAACTCATACTTCACATATGCTAGAACCTATTGTGGGTACTATGGTTGGTATTCCTTTTGCTTCAACTCTACCACCCCATCAGACTGATTCTTCGGAAGAGGAATGGCAGGTTTATTCCGGGAGGAAGAAGAAGAATGGAGGCAGACTCCAACTCGGGAACATATTGGATGATATATTGGTTACTTCTGGCAATGACAATCATCTTACTAGCTTGCTTCTTTCCTAGAACTAGAGGCAGAGGCAAGACCAAATTGGGTCGCTCTCGAGCCACCTGATGCTATGTATTTCGACACTGCTAGGTTTTTTATTTAAGTATATAATGTATTTTTCTGTTTTTTCTAGTTTTAGAACCATTTGTGATTTTTTAGTGGGCAGGGTGTCATGTTTGGGTCATCCCACACTTTTTATCTGTATCTTTCTTTCTACTAAATATATATATATATATATATATATAGTAATCAACCTAGCAAATCTTTCTTAGTTATTAAAAACTTTCTTAAGAATGACATAAAAATTATTTCTTACAGCTTAAAATCTCTTTCTATTGTACTCATAACTCATTACCCTCCTCTAGAATATCCATTTTGCCAGATTAGTAAATTTGTATAAATAGACATCGATTTGCATGAATTTTGCATTCAGCTCAATCATTTCAATCTGCATTACAAAATGGTGTTATGCTCGTTATGCATTAAAAATTCCAATATATTAGACCATGCCACTTTCTACTTCAAAAGAAATACTTCGGAATATTAATTGATGTGCCAAAAAAAAAATAATATCTAAGCAGAAGGCTAAATTGTTCGATGAGATGTACCCAAAACGTGCAAGTCTCAACTTGTACCAAGAAAAACTGAAGACAAGAATATATAATGAGAAGCATACAGTTAGAACAACTATTGCCGTGGTAGCTGTGAATATTGTTTTTCCATGTCCTTCAGGAAGGTCATGTACAGATTGTAGAGCAAGGGCGAAAGCCATAGCACCTCTGAGTCCTATTATTGAGAAAATGAACAAAAAAATGGAAATGAAAAATAAAAATAATACATTAAACCTAGAGCACCAAGCAAACTTACCACTATACCAGAGTGCTTTCTGATGTTTCATTGGAATATGTCGGCTGGTTGGCCTTGCTAAATTGACCAAGTAAGCACAAGAAAAAACATTTGCAGCTCTTCAAAAGTGAATATTCAAGTTGTTAGTATGAAAATAACAACAGTTCCAAACAACAAAATGTTAAATTTCCTTCACCCAAAGAAAACCGCTAAGGGAGGGGAAAGTGGCCAAGTTTAATCAAGATCATTTAATGAATAAAATACGGCCTGAAAAATTCTTGATGATCTAGTTTGAAAAAATTGAGAGAACCACAAGAACAGGAAAAGAAAATCACAAAAGGATAAAACAATAGGAAGATGCACAATAAAAAAACTGTAAATACTACTTCGAGTGATCAATATTAAGTCATATTTGGGCAAGCGTTGTCATGTTTATTAGTCATTTTATCTTGTCAATTGCCCAAGATAAAATAATTCGATATCATTTTGGGCATATGAGTTTGTATTTGAATTTAGAAGGGTTAGAACGTCCATAAATTATGACTTCTATTCTAATTACCATTTACTAGGAATTAGAATATTATTTAAGAGGAAGGCCACATATTCTTATTCCTTGAGTTCAAAAATACAAAAGTTATAGATATACAAGACAACACAAAGAGATAGCATAGAAAGAAATAAATTAAATCTAAGAAAAAACAATAATTCATAAACAAAGATATGCATAGAGAAATTTTTCTCCACTACATTGAATATATAGTAGCTGAAAACAGTGATTCCAACTTGCAGTGGGGTTTTCCAGACAATGATATTCTGGTGTAACAGATAGAGGCAGTCCATGTGATTTTCCATCTAGGAAAGGTGCACTAATGGCAGGGAGATTTAATCTTGTCCAACTTTGTCCATGCGGTAGCTGAGATCATGTGGGCCTCCTCCTAGGAGAAATCCAATAGCTGGAGGAGTAATACAGAGACTGCAAACAGCAGGAAGAGTCTTAGGGATTCAAGACCGCACCCACTACCATGACCCTTACCAACAAGAAATTCCAAGATTGAGCAGACCAAGCCGCCACTTATACTCTTTTTTAAGAAGTATAGAGCCGTTAATTTCCCTAAAAAGATACATTATTTACACACTCCCCTTTAAGTTGAGAATATATGTCGATCATTCGGAGTTAAAAAATATTAGTGTCAAATTGAGTTTGCTAATGGGCTTTAGTAATAATACCAGAAATTTGAGATTTCTTAGAGGTGCAAATCACTTTCAAAAAAAGTTCTGGTACATATCTTTCTTTTATAACGTGTCTATTAATATCCATATGTTTTGTCCTATCATGACAAATAGGATCATTAGCAAAAGTTATTTAGCATGGTTGTCATACACCATCATCATTGAATCTTTAATATAATTAATTAGATCCTTGGGGGACCATTTAAGTTATATTCCTGGCTGATCGCAACTCTGCTTTCATACTAGTTTTAGTGACAAAATACTACTTTTTTTACTTTTCCAAGAGACAAAATCATCCCGTAAAAATAAGCAAAAGCCAAAAGTGTTGGTATGTTCAATTAAAGTCCTGTCAATTTAGTAGCAGCAAGGATTTCAATAGTCCTTTTGTTCCTTTTATGAGGAACAGACCTTTTTTTGGTGAACCTTCTAAGATACCATAATATTATGTATACAATATTAACATGTTCCTCCATGGGATTATTCATTTATCTGTCAACTACACTATCTTGAAAGTAGATGTCAGATTTAGCGTGAAAAGGAAGATAATTTTTCCAACCAATTGTTGAAACCCTTCTTTTTCAATCTATATTGTATCATTTTTTTATCCAAATTTATTGATAGGGTCCATTGGGGTGTCAACAAGCTCACATAGGTCCAGAACACATTTTTATTGAGAGAAAGATATACCCTTGTTTATCTTTGTATCATTTTTTTATCCAAATTTATTGATAGGGTCCATTGGGGTGTCAACAAGCTCACATAGGTCCAGAACACATTTTTATTGAGAGAAAGATATACCCTTGTTTATCTTACAATTTTCAGACAAAGGAAATACTTTAAGAACCCAAGATTTTTAATCTCCAATTCATTAACCAAGATTCCTTTTAGTCTACAAATAACTTCCTCATGATTACGAGTTAATATAATACCATCAACATGGATAATAAGGATCGTTGTTCTGTCTGCTGATGAATCAATAACAAACGCAGTGTGATCAATGTATCCCTGAGAAGATTCATGCTTTTTAACAGCAGTAGTGAATATATCCAACAAAGCTATTAGGGATAGTTTTAGGCCATATAAAAACTCCTTGAGTTTACAAATTTTATTTATTTTGTTAGTGGTCCCAAATTCAGCTAGTATAATCATATATACTTCATTTTCTAGGTTCCTATTTAGAAAGGCATATTTAGCATTCAATTAATAATGTGCTCAGTCATGGTGAACAGCAAGAGAAAGAAAACCTCAGATGATGTTAATATTAGCAAAATGCGCAAGTGATAGTTTTAGGCCATATAAACATTCCTTGAGTTTACAAATTTTATTTATTGTATTAGTGGCCTCAAATTCAGATAGATTAATCATATATACTTCATTTTCTAGGTACCTATTTAAAAAGGCAAACAATTAATGAAGTGCTCTGTCCTGGTTAACAGCAAGAGAAAGAAAACCCCCGATGATGTTAATATTAACAACATAGGCAAAAGTTTTTTTATAATGACATCATATAATTGAGTAAATTCTTTTGTAGTCAAACTAGCAATACTCCCATTAGCCTTGTATTTGGTTGAAAATACATTTGCAACAATCAAGGCGAGAGTTTATTGGTATCGTATTTTTCCAAAGCCAAAATTTTCTCCTGCTAAGTGTTTCTAGACCATGTTAAAAAAAAAAACTTAAGTGACTTCAATTTTTATTCCTCAAGGGGCCAACACGTGCATAATTTCTAGAAGATACATGACATAATATGAACACACGACATAAAGAGAAATAAACTAAAAATTATTGAAATAATAATAGTTGACGATCACAGATAAGAATCCAAAAATTTATTCTCCTACATCTAGAATGTATATGGCATAAAGGATTCAAACTTGAAGTAGCAGTCTTAGAAATTACTATTAATAGCTGGAGGTATAAACGCTCCCCAACCCAAGAAAAAAAAATTGGTTTTCTATCTAGGAAAGACACACCAATAAAAGGAAGATTGAATTGTGTGCAACCGTAATTGTTTGGGTTTACCTCTAAGTGAAAAGTGCCAGCAACAAGAGCAATTCTAGTGATTTTGGAAATGGTATGGAAATAAAGTGACAAGAAACACAACATAACCACTAGTAATTTTATAGAAGCCATTAACTGAAAATTCAACAAACGAAAAAACAAATGACAATGACAAATACTAGAGAATAGGGTGTAGGTGGTGTCAGTTAGGTTTTGGACCACCAAAGTGGTGACAAAAAGGCGGCTAGCAAACTGGAAAAGGAGGACAGCAAGATAGTTGTGCTCCCTGAGCGGCGACAGAAGGTTGGATGCAGAAAACAACAAGTTTTGTATTTTCTAGAGGTGGGTGGTGGCGGCGGCAGGAAAAGGAGGACAGCAAGATAGTTGTGCTCCCTGACCGGCGACAGAAGGTTAGATGCAGAAAACAACAAGTTTCGTATTTTCTAGAGGTGGGTGGTGGCGGCGGCGACAGACAAACAATGGAAGGGATGTGGGATCTATCACGACCCGACCGAGGCTTGGAATCAACTAAAATGGGAACAAGGGTTAGACGGTGTGAATAAAAATTTTGATATTCATTTCCTATTACTTGCTATTAACAGATCACTGAGTCACTAATTAAATTAATTAACATGATATATTTAAATTTTACCTCGTTATTGGCTTTCAGTATCTTATATTCATATTATCTCTTCTAACGCTTATCATCAAAAAACTTGAAAAAGTATGTTTAAAATAATAATAAGCTAAACAAGCTAGCGAATACCCATACTCATAAACCAAAGTAATACAATAGAAAAATGAAGCAATATGCATACTAATCAAACTATTAATAAATCAATAAAAATATTTGATGTTATGCAAACAACCTTATTATATCAATACTATATCAATATCATTCTATATTTGTACAACCGTCATACGAGCATCGTCTAAAAATTATGTCAATTAAGACAAATTAATATAAATATATTTTTCCATATGCATGCACGGGTACCTTAGTGTTTCACCACTAGTACCATCAAAGGGTGATCAATCCATCATAGTCAGTCATGCACACACAAACAATCAACATAAACATATTATTCATGTATTCTGAGAATTCAATTCAACATACTTTAAAGAGCATACACCAAATGCATGAAAGTAATTAGCTACAACATTCATTAAAAATATGACAAATAAATAAAAAAATAACTTAATTAGAGTAAAGCATGTGCAAGTGTAATTAAGTGCAAAATCGTTGAGAAGAAATAAAATATTATTATAGATTAAAAGTACAACACTCACCTCAATGTCTATTAATTTGTCTTGATATTAATTCTTTTAGAATTGAAAGCGTAAAGTAAACATAATATAAAACTTAATTAATTTCTTATTTTAATAAACTATTAACTTTTTATTATTTAATTATTTAAATTTACTTTATGTAATTCCGTTTAATTTTGATTCAATATATATATCATAAATTTTGATATTTCAGTGAGAATTTGAAAAAATGATGAAAGAGGTTCCTAGAATTGTAAATAGCAATGTTTGGGGTGCTATGTATGTAATTGCCCCATTAATATATTAATGGTTTGTCATATTTAAGAATTATTTTAACATTATAGTTTTTTTTTCTATTTTATGACTTATGCCTTGCTAAAACAAAACAACTCAATTCACAGTTTCACCTTTTTAAACCTTGGATCAAATTAAATCAACTACTAGCTCAAGCTTTGTTTATTCTTAACTTGCCTACAGTTGTAATATCCATCCGAACTTGTCATGCAACCATTCATCCAAATAGGTGAACCTGTCATTCATTCCCTAAAGAGTCTTCCACTATTCACCTTGGTACCCACCAAGTTGGCATCAATCTAGATCTCTTAAAGTTCGGTTGGGT